TTTTGTTTGGTTGGTTTTTATTGTTGGTTTTGTTGGTTTGTTTTTTTAAGAGACAGCTGTTGTGCTCTCAAGTAACTGCATTGATTTCTCATTGGAAGACAAACCAGTGGTGCACAGCCTGGATATTTTCACAGTCCCCATATAGGTACAACCTCTGTGCTAGGTTTTGAAGTGGTTATGGTTTCTGTCTGCTCCTCATTTCAGAGCAGAAAGCTCAGCCTGGTTAAGGCTTTTCTGTGGGAGATAGGGAAGCAAAACTCTGGTCTATGAAACATCTGAGTGCAGAGAACAGCTTGTTCCCAAGGAGTTGACTTGCCAGCATGATTCCTCCCTGCTTCTCATTAGGAAAGACTTAAGCTCTTTTCTACATTGTGCTTGTTGGATTTGAAGCATTGGGAAGGGGAAGGAACATTTATCGTGTTTAACAATTGCAAGAGAGAAACTGTTGGATGTCAAGGTAGCTTGCAAACGAAAGCAGTCACTCGTACCAGACAAACTGGGATACTAGGCCACTAAGACTTTTTCCCTCAAGAAGTAAAATTGTGAATAACCCCAAAATTCACCCGTCTCATTCAATTGCTACTCTATACATATACATCTGGCAAAAATAACAGCTACTCCAAAACATGAAAGGGCCTTCCAGAAGGGTATGTATTGTTATACATAAATAAGATTACTGCATCTATAATCATTATTTAATTAATACACTGTTAATCCACAGGCCGTGCTGCATCCCCCATTTATAGCTAGCCATCCTTCAGGCTTCAGTAGGCTCCAGTGCACAAGTGAAGACTCACTTTCAGAGCAGTTCTTTCACTCAAAGAAGTGTGTGGTTATGTGTGAGTTCGGTGACTGCTTTGTATCCAGTGGCTGGCAATCAGTTCACTCCAGCTGAAAACTTTCATGCAAGCAAGGAGACAGAAGGCCAGATCACAGCATGCAACACAATGTTGCTGATGTCACCAGCACAAACCCTAAAAAGGAATCCTAAGAAGATGGAGAGAATAGCAAAAAATGGGTCTCAGCACCTAGGAGGCCAACAATTACTCTCTGAGCTGTCCACAAAGACTGACACAACATTCTCCCAGCAATCTACGTTAACACATACTTCTGTAAAAAACAGACCTAATACACTGCATTAATTTGAGCAGGAATAACAAAATTGTGTAAACATGAAAAGGAAAAAATAAAATTGTGTGAACATATTTCTTCTCAGATTCCCAGGAGGCTTTCATGAACATGACAGCAGAGCAGGTAGAAGGAAGCTTTAGTTTCACTTTGTAATTTATTGGGGAGTCAAGTATCCAGCTCCTGTAGGAAAAGCTGCATGGATTAGGCCTTTCACTCTTAAAGAGCTCAGCCACAGTGCTGTAGTGTTAGTGGACCCCAGTTCAGAATCACAGAATCGATAAGGTTGGACAGGACCAGTGGGTCATCTGGTCCAACCTCCCTGCTCAGTTAGGGTCATCCTAGAGCACATTGCACAGGATTGCATTCAGACAGTTCTTCAATATCTCCAATGAGGAAGACTCCACAACCTCTGAGGGCAATCTGTCCCAGTGCATGGTCACCCACACAGTAAGAGGTATTATAGCACAATAAGTGCCAGATTCTGCAACTGGTATGGGGTAACCTGGGATGGAGGTACAGACTGGGGAATGAGATGCTGGAAAGCAATGCCTTTGAAAGGGTCTTCATTGACAGCAAGCTGAACATGAGTCAGCAGCGCCCTGGCAGCCAGGAGGGCCAACCGTGTCCTGGGGGGGAAACAGGCAAAGTAGGTGATTGTCCTGCTCTGCTCTGGGGTGGCCTCACCTTGAATAATGTGTGCAGTTTGGGCACTGCAATATAAGAATTATATTAAGCTATTAGAGAGTGTCTGACGGAGGGCAACAAAGATGGTAAAGGGCCTTAAGGGGAAGATGTGTGAAGAGTAGCTGAAGTCACTTAGTCTATTCAGCCTGGAGAAGAGGAGACTGAGGGGAGACCTCATTGCAGTTACAACTTCCTCCTGAGGGGAAGAAGAGGGGCAAGCACTGATCATTTCTCTGTGGTGACCAGTGACAGGACCCAAGGCAATGGCCTGAATTCATGTCAGCGGAGGTTTAGGTTGGATATTAGAAAAAAGGTCTTCATCCAGAGGGTGGCTGGGTGCTAGAAGAGACTCCCCAGGAAAGTGGTCACAGCACCAAGCCTGGCAGAGTTCAAGAAGTGTTTGGACAATACTCTCAGGCACATGGTGTGACTTTTGGGGATGATCCTGTGCAGGGCAAAGGGTTGGACTCAATGATCCTTGTGGATCCTTCCAACTCCTCATATTCTGTGAGATTCTGTGAATATCTAATCTTTGTTGAAAATTGCATGTCTGATTTTTTTTTAAACAAAATTGGATTGAAATTGTTATATTTCATATGGTGGTGCTAGCTGTTGATTTCCATGGCTTTTTTACAACATAATTAATCCTTACTGTGTATGTATTATTTTAATGGCAAGACTGATAATGTGGTAATTGCTCTTCCAGTAAAAATTAAACTGTAAAGTATCCCTCAGGCCAGGAAGTCCTCTTCAGTACAATTTATTTACTATTGGTCATCTAATGTATCACATTACTACATCTAATATAAAGAAGTAGAGTTCTAAAATAAAGAGGTAAAGCAGTTCTCGTAGCAGGGATCTACAGCCAAGTGAGAAGCTGTTGCTCTGCCTCTTCTGCTTTTATCAAGGCAAGTGATGTACTCCGTGCATTGCTGTCCCCCTCTCTTGCAGCTTCTTTGTCAGGGATCTCTTTCTCCTGCCCTTTAGAAGGAAGTCTGAGGACAACAAGTCATCAAAGGCAGACTGCTGGTCTCTAAATGGGGCAGGAGACACAAGGTCTGAGTGTCTGTCTCTCCTGCAAAGTCACTGGTCAGACTGGGAGTGCTAGACACCATCTGGGGGCCTGTATCTGGCTCCTGCCCATAAAGACAGGACCAGAAATGGCAGGTGAAAATATGATGGCTCACATCAATGGGTAGTGTTGCTGTGGGCCATATCCCAAAGGCTGCTGCTACTTGAAAATTAACTCGGGGCCATGTGATCTTAAGGGAAACAATATCTCAAAATGTAGGAGATTTTGTCACCTGCTCTCCACTTGGACAGTTCCTAACATGTATGCAGAGCTATTCTCTGGGCAGTTTCAGAATTTG